CCAAACCACAGGATAAGACCACTGTCCTGGCTTCAGCTGCTTTACACTCACAACACAAGTCCGTGGAGCCAATCCTGGTTTTTATAGATCTCTTCTCTGGCTTAATAAAACCCCAAACAACCCAGGTTAAAAACATACCAGAACAAAAAAGCCCTACTCCCAGAAGGAGTGAGCAATTCATTTGTGTGTCAGCTCCTGCTGTCTTCACACAGCAAAAGCCACAGCATCCCTGCAAGCCCAGGACTGGCCTCTGGATGCAAGGGGCTTTGATGAGCTTCAGTGGGACCTCATGGGGGACAGTCCCAATGGGGTTTGCCACAATATCCCCTCTCCTCCTCCCTAGCAGCCACGAGCACAGAGTTTGTTCCTTGGCCACAGATGTATTCCCCAGCCACTGAGGAGCCTGCTCAGGGCAGGCCCTCCCTGGAGTTGAAGGGATCCCTGTTCCCCACAAAATACATTTTCTACACAGATATTTTTGTTCAAAGACTAAACTTGGCATGTGTAGAGTTCAGCTAGTCACAAAACCACCTTTCAAAACTTGGGCTGGCAGAAACAACATTTAAATGTTACAAATGCCACCACCTTAACCACTGGCCTACTAGAAATGGAGCAGAAGAATGTGCTGCTCTTGAATTTCCTCTAGATTTTTTGAAGGCAGACAGCTCCGCCTTAGTTCTGTGTAAAAAACCTGGCAGTCCTATCCCTAAGACCTCATTTTTCAAAATAAGAGAAAAGGAAGTGCAGCTATGGTCCTGAGGCAGTCACATGTCATCAGGTAAGAGGTCCAGTAATTCAGCTTTCATGGGCAGAAGTTTTCTGGCAATAAAGAAAAATCATTTTCTTTGTGGCAAACTGCACACAACTCTCTGATTCAAAACTCCATCCAAATGGAGATCTTTGACTGCCGATTTTCACTTTTAAGGTGGTGCTGTAAACATGAAGTCATCCTCAGACCAATTCGTCTTAGGTATGAATTGTACGGAGAATTGGCTGAACACCAATTAACAAACTGGCAAGTAGTCCAAGCTGATATGGACTAATGAATGACTAACAGACATTTTGTTAGGTTTCCTAAGATTTTTTTCACCAGAGATGGTAATCATCAAGTGTGAATGCTACGTGACTATTTGCAGCTTGTATATTCTGCAATAAGAAGATGTGGGACCTAGATGATACTAGTGGAAAATGAGTGACTTTAACTCATCTGTCAAGTATTTTACATGTAATTTTCAAATAGATCAACCTGAGTCCAGCACAGCTCTGTTACAGAGCCCAGAGGCACCCTGATAAATGACACACTGAAACCTTCTTCAGAAGATACAGCTTAGATGAGTTTTTCAGACTATGACACTAACTCAAGAAGTTCCTGCCCTGCTCGTGCTGAGCCCTTCTCCACTCTTTGCCTAACCCTGACAGCATTGCTGCCTACATGATGCCACTGTAAACTGGATCACTGAAACAATCCAAGTAAAAGCAACTTCTTGGATGAGTTCTGGGGCTGGAGAAAATGTTTGCTCATGTAGCAACTGCTCACCAGCTCCTGACCTTCCAGGCAGCAGCACAAGTCCTGAAGTCTTCCCTGATGCCCCCTTTTGGGATTATTCCTCGGCAAAAGCCAAGTCCCTTTGAACTTTCCAGGTGAGACAGACCCTGGAGCAAAGTGCAGCGTTGTGGGAATCCCAGCCTAAGAGAAGAACCCATTAATTTCAAAATAAAAGATATGCTAGAGACAGGTGAAGGAATAGTGATGCCTATTTATTGCTAAACCCTCTGAAATACCAAAGTGATGATTATCTGAGTGGGTGGAGGGCATTATCCAGTGCTTTTGGAAAGTAGGTAGAGAGAGAGGAACAGAGGCCCCAGGCAGTATAAGAGGGGGAAATTTTGACTGAGCAGATAAAGCAAGAAAAAAAATTTATTTTCTCTATTCCTTCTTGTAAGAGGAAAAAAACCCAAACCGAACCCAAATTCATTTATACGCCTCAATGAGGCTCCTCTGAAAGGCTGGGCCTGGGCAGGCCCATGGGCACGGGTTGGTGGGGTGGGACTGGCCAGGGTTCTTTGCAGGGACCATGCACAGGCTTGTGTGCAGCAAACGTGCACAGCCACTAAACCTGCAACAGTGGCATCTCCTGCAGGGTTTTTAATTTCCTTATGAAGAAACTGAAGTTGATTTTCTTCCAAAGTAAACCTCCCTCAATACCTAAGTATTTATAAATTAAATACCTGTGTATTTGCCTTCTTTCTTTTCTTCCTGAAAACTGACTCCAATGTTCCTCTTATTTTTAATAAAACACACAGCACTCACTATTCCTAGGTATGCCAATAATCCATTGTAACCACTTTTGCCTGCCTGCAAAGCACACCTGGCTGTCATAGAGAAACGGATTTAACGTAAGCAATTGCCAGGCTGTTCTGCCAAAAACTTACCCCAGTCTTTGGACTTGTAAGGATTCATTACTGGGGCCATGAACATTGCTGAGAGAAGATTTTAATTCAGGGATCCCTACTGCTGCAGTGGAGGAGTAACCAAGAAAAGCAATTCAGAACGATCGCATCTGATGTCATGCGAGAAGCCCCTATCAAAACACGAGATGCTCACAGGGAGGCAAACCCTCAAGGAGTGATGCTTTACAGATGAGGAAGGGTGCATGATGAACCAGCTCAGCAGAAATCATCTGTGCTTGCACCTGATACCAGAGGCACCCCACAGCAGCCAGTCCACTTGTCAGGGAGAGGGAGAGAGGCTTCCACAGATGACTGGACAGTAATCCACCGAGGAGAGCTGTCTCGTTAACAAATCTGTCCTCTGCAATGAGACTCTGCTCACACAGATGTGTCAGCTCCTTCATTCAGAGGGAGCAGGCTGAAAAAGATCATGGCAGCTACACTTTACATGGATGCCAGAGGCCAGGGTGAAGAGGCAGCAGGGAGCATCAGTGAGGAGGTGGGGTGTTGTGTCTCCTCCATGCTGCTCACAGAAGTCCCCCTCGGTGGCTGCTACCTACACCCAGCACATGAAGCTATGGAAGCAAGAGGGTGCCCTATTTGCTTGTGTCAAGCAAAACTGTCAATAACATCTATTTTTCAGGCCCCATTTGACAGATTGTACTGCTGGATGTTGCACAGCAATAAAGTCCCCCTACAGCCTTTTTTTTTTACATCATGCAATGAAGCTTTTTCAATCCAAGCAGCTCACACACCTGAAGGAAGAGATAAGTGGTCAGCAAGTACGACCTGCTGCAAACTTCTGCTTCCTCAATTTTGAATCAAATCTCTTTTTCCCCCCCCACTTTCTTTTCCTAAATTTTCCACAACCAAGAAGAAACCCCAAAATTCATCTGTGGCCCTGGCATTCCACATTGACGCCTTGCTCAGGCGGGATGCAGTTGCATTCGTGGGATGCAGTGTCCTCTACAGACCTTCTCCGCAGCCCGTCTCCTGGCTGTGCACTGCAAGGCTCTCGCTGAGAGTGAGAAGATGTGCAAGAACCACAGCAAAGCCTTGCACTGACAAAGGACTGTGCACACCAACAACTCCATCAGAGCGGGGCAGCTTTGCAGGTGGACTGAAAGCAGGCTGCCTGGGCAGCCTTGCTGTCCCTCACAGAGAGCAGATAACAGCACGTATCCTGAGGTGCTCCGTACACACAGGAAACAGGAAAACATTCTCCAGGTTCACCACTGCTGCTCACCTACCACAAAGCTTCCCCTTGAACATTTAACTGTGAAACAGTGAATGAAAACACAATTAAAGATGAAAGGGGCAAATTATGCACTGTAAAGTCAAAGGACACTGACTCCTTCTTTCTGTCCTTCACCTGAAAAATAAGAAAGCTGGAAGTAAGCTGCAAACTGAATGAATGCCTCATTTAACTTCACCACTGAGATGCTCTACATACTATTCTGAAGTTAATAGAACACTTTCAATATTTTATAGCTAACCTTTTATCCTACTACATTTTGAAATTTACTCCCTTATACTAATAAATAAACAAAGGAGAAAAGGCACTTTGTGTGGCACCTGCCCTATGAGTCAGGGAATATGTATGTGTGAGCAGGCAGGGATATGGGCAGGATCCTGAAGAATCACAAAAGAACGACAGAAACAATGATTACAAGCCCCCAGCTGTGGAAAAGAAGCAACAGAAAAAACCACATCAATCTTGAAAAAAAATTAATCTGAAGAAGCTAACATTTGAAAAACACCCGTGTCAGAACCTCAATCTACAGATATTCTCTTGGATGAGTCCAAAAGAAAAAGATGTCTATCCATTCAGGGAGGGGCGAGGAGGAAAACAGTTATTGCATACTTAAAACATTAAGTAGGCCAGGACATTGCTGAGACCAGGATCCCACCAATACATAATTCCTGCATTTGATACCTTTTTTTGGCCAAGAAATACAATTTTACAAAAAAGCAAACCCAAACAACTTTGCTAGTGTTGCTAAGCCACAGCAGCAGCACAACTCTGATTCTGTCCAGATCTGTCCCACACACCTGATCCCAAGTGAGTGCTCTGATCTTGCAAAGACACTCTTCCTCCTCCCCCACAGCAACTCTGCTCCACTGACAGCAGAGCCCCTCGCCCCATCCCTGTGTAACACAGCTTGGGAAACACGTGGCATCGACTGCAAGAGGGAATCCATCTGTTGTGACTTCAAAGAAGACGAGTTAGAGCTCTGTGATTCCTAAAAACCACAAATATTCCACCTTGGTTTGCCTGATTTGTCATTAACATTTCTCATGCCTAAATTAAGAAGGGCGCTGAACACCAGATGCGTGCCGACAGTGTTGCAGTCGAGCAGCTTTTATAGCTTAGCCTTGCTTCCTTCCACACCTCCATGTTTCTTGGTTGTGCCTGTTGCATACCAACACACAGCAAGCCATCACAAGCCAAATTACTATTATTAGTGAGCACTAACTATTAAGGGTTCGGTGCAAACTCCAATAAAACTAAGGAACCAATTATTTTACCACATCTATGGGGCACTGACCTGTTTGCCCGTTTTCCCTGTTCTCAAAGATCCTTCAGCCTGGTACCCAACTCTGTGATGAAGCCTGTTTAGCACCAGTGAAGTTCCCCACATTCAGACTGACAACGTTCTGAGCTGAGATGAGGGAATCAAAGTTAAAATCCAGCCCATCGGCATCCATGAGTTCACTGCGGATAATGGACTCCATGTCACACTCCAGGCTCCCATTGAAAATGTCCAGGTCCAAGTCACTGGGGAACTTCTCGTGTCCCATGGCCGGGAGATTCACGCTAGAGGAGTACAAAGAGGAGCCTGACAGCGGGTCAGAAAGTGTTTGCATAGACTGACTGACAGGTGACTGCTGATGTTTGGTGGATCCCAAGCTGTTGGAGTCACTCAAGCCTATGTTACTGATGGAATTGGACAAGGCACGGCTGCCACTAAGAGAGGAGTTGTGGGACTGGTGCTGGTGATGGGACAGGTTCTGACTGACCAGACCGCCCTGGCTGGACTGCGCGGCAAACGACATCATGGGGTCATTGCGGAGCATTATATTCCTGCGGGAATTCTGGGCGGACACAGCTGTGCTGGCTTGTGACATGAGTGGGTCAGACTGTGTCATCATGACATCGCTGTGACTAAGCGCATCAGAGGTGAGGAGATCCTGCAGCGTCTGGTTGTTGTAATGAGAAATGGAAGAGAAGGTGGCCTGCTTGTTCTCCTGAATCGTCTGCATGGGCGACTGGCGGAGGGAATTCAGGGATGATGGCCCAAACACAGCATTGTTGAAACTACTTGATGGGGAGCCCAGCCCTGAACCTTTGGAACCATAAGGAAAACTGGAGCTTCTCTGCATTATCCCTCCTGTGGGTGACTGCTGGGAGGGAGGGAGTGTTATATTGTCCAAGAGATCATCCATGAGGTTATCAGTCAGTCCATCATTCAAGTTCATTGTCCCAGCCATATCAGTCAACCTAGGCAACTCCACAGTGCACGGTTTGTTTACCGACGGGGACAAGCTCGATGGACTACTGTACAGCATGGGAGAAAGTGGAGCATCATCATCTTGAACATCATCGAGCTCGGTGCTTGCCAAAATTGGTGACAAGCGGCCACTGATCGTACTGGCGTTTGAATTTGTACGGGAGCGAAAATCTGTCCATGCATCCAGCTCGTCGCTGCTGCGGGAGGTGGGACTCCCTGGCCACTTGGAGAGCTGGGAAGGGCTGTCCTCACTCGTCTCCTGGGCTGTCTGCAGGGCTGCCTTTTTCTTTGCCGCCCGCCCTCTGCTCTTGGTGTACTTGTTGCTGTTGTCCATTGACACAGCGCGCCTCCGGGGCGCCTTGCCGCCTTTTCCACCATCTGGATTGATCATCCACCAAGAGCTTTTCCCGGTGCCTTCATTCTGCACCCTGACGAATCGGCTGTGGAGTGACAAGTTGTGCCGGATCGAATTCTGCAGGAAAGGAACAAAACAAAGCATCAAGACCAGCACCCCACTTCTTTTACAACCCAAATCTCAATCATTAAACCAACATCTCATGATAACAGCAACATGAATAAAATCATTGGACCCTCCTGGACATCTTCGTGAATTTCTCAGGTGCTGGATATGGGAGGGCTGGAGTGTGACTGTGGCATGGCAGCATCCTGCTGGAAAGCAAGCCCCAAGCTTGCACCAGCTGTGCATTCCTTGTGCCCATCTCCACACCCCTAAAAACTTCATCCTAAGTAAAGACATTGCTGAGAGAGCGACATTCCTGCTAGAAAGGAGCTAGATGTTTCTCGCTTACTTTTTACTCAGGACAAACTATTACTATCAGTAATCTTGCCATCAGTTCCTTGAAATAAAAACTGCAAAGGCACAACAAAACTCTGGCTGGAGGGGTAGTCACACTCATTGCAGCCTCTGCAAGTGTCTTTTTAATTCTTCATGGGCACGTGTGCTGTATATTTGTTATAATAATTCCTGAGAAAACTGCAAGTGCTGTTGCTCCTCTCCCACAGGCACTCTGTGCGTGACTAAGCTGTACTTTCTCTCTTGATTAGAGGCACCAGAATTATGCCCATACGGCAGTAGCTGGCCAGCTGTCCCCTCGCTAGAGTATCCTCACCGTCTTCAAAACATGATGTGACACAGTGTGCAACGATATCCCTGTCCCCGTAAGCTGCTGGATGCAGAGCTGTATGAAGCTGCTGTACACAGCCAGATGCTCTGCGCTCTATAGGATGCTATGGAATACAGGGCTCTCAGGGGAGCCTGCACACGGCCTGCTCCTGCACCCTACCTGCTCGCACTAGTCAGCAGCATCAAACTGCCCAAACACCACGTTAGCCCAAACTGGAGATAACCACCTCAGAATCAGAAAGAGCCTGAGAAAAGCAGCCCACAGTAGCCCCAGAGAAACGGCACCTGATTTAAACCAAAGTAACTGAGATGAAAATCCCACTCCAGTCATCCTGCTGATCTTGTGCTTAAAATATGGATCAAAGAAAGGAAAAGCAAATAGTATTTGTTAGTGTGAATGCTTCCAGGTTTGGTAAACCAACATTTTTTTCCCATGTGGAAATCCAAAAGATTTTTGGAGCGATCCCATATTCCTTTGAGAAAGCCCTTGTGCTATTCCTCTAAGCTTAAAGAGTGTAGAGTTCTTTTTTCTTAAATTTTGGCAATTACCAGGTGTAACTATGAAAAGGATAAAATCATGTTTGTCCTATCAACATCTTTTAAAAACACATAGTCAGCAAGACCATAACACAATAAAACCATTCAGAACAAGTGCCCTTCATTTACAAAACACTGAAGAAACTCCAGATTTAAATGGGCAAAGAACGAATTAATTGACAAATCATTCACCTCAATATTTGCATCCTTAGGAAACATGGATGCTTGACATAAATAAACTGGAGATACATATAAAGAAATACAGCCCAGCTGTTTTTTAAGAACAATTCTTTTCAGTATAAAATGCCTTTCTTTCCTCACTGTTTTGTGGTTTTTGTCAGATTGTGAAATGAAAAACATGCCTGAAGTTCTTGCACGCAGACAGCAGACGTGGTTGTGATTATCACTTAACAAAAAGAGAAATCATATGGACCACGCTTCAAAACAGCAACTGTTATGTTTTAAACAATTTACACACAGCAACTGATCGGACTTTGCTGACATGCTCAAGAGAAGTTTGGGTCAGTGCCTCAGCTATAAACATGCCCATTTCTGAGCGACTATCATGCCATCAAAATATGGTGGATTGAGTTGCATCATAATAATTCTTCAGCCTAAGGAGGAGAAAAGCTTTTTATTGTTTAACTGATGGCATTTTAACAATATTTTGAGTCTGGCAACAGTCTAACTTCTAATAACTAGGTACCACTCCTTACTTTTTCAGGTTTCTCCCTGTAAAACTGGCTGGAGAGCCGATTTTTTTTTTGTTTAAAATAACCTTTCTTGATACTCCAGCTTTGTACTGCATCTCTGCAGGTAGCTCTCACCCTCAGTCCCTGTAATGTCCATGGACAACCACTTACGAGAACATCTGTATGGGGATTTCTCCATGCAAAGTCCAGGCCAGGCTTCAAAAGCCACAGGAGCTATGCTGCACCCCACCTAAAAATGCTGGGTAAAAGAATACATGGCATCATGACTCTTGCTAATGAAAAATAAATCTCAGAGAGGAGAAACACCTGAGGTGGCATGCGCAGTGTGCCATGCACAGCTTCAGATATAAAAAACCTCAGCCAAAGTGCCAGCAGCTAACAGTCTTCAGCCTACAGTATTCTCATAAAAGGGGTTATTTCTGCTGCTGGTATCCGTAGTATGAAAGTATTTGGCTTAAAACCATGAAAAATCCTAAATGGTAAAACTGTGAGACTGAGGAACCTTTCAGGATGAGGACTGCTGCATGTGTGGATACGTACATGCACATGTGTAATTTTCTTATTATATCTTTTTACTCAGTGTCGGTTTTACTCAAATAATAAAAGAATGTAATAATCCTTCTGCATTGAAAATTGGTAGTTATAAAAAATCCAAGCAGTTTGTTTTCCTTTACATTAAGCACTATGCCACTTATAATCCTGCTTCTGTTTTTCTTTGCTTTTCTTCTGCAGGAAGATTTTCTTAGGCATAATTGTGGGCTAATTTATTTTTGTGTACCCCATCTCCACCCTCTGTTCAAACACCGCCTTAAAACCCACTACTTTCACATAACCTCCCCCACTAACCTCTTCAGCAATAGTATCTGAGTTTTTGGTTTCTCCTTCTGTTGGGTGCCCTGCCAAATCAAATCAGGGCTGGATCCTATTATCCTTTCTCATGCAAGTTTTGCTACAGAAGCCACCAGGATTGACAACTCACATCAGTGAAGGCTGTTGCACTGAGCTACCAGGTGGCAATCTGGATGAAAATAACTGTATTTTCTACCTGTTTTCTGAGCTGTCAAAAAATATTCCTATCTGCTTAAAAGACAGGAAAGTATATGGGGACAATCACTGCTCACAACTACGGGCATTACTAATATATGACCATGCAACAAACCACAAAGGAGGTGGGGAAGCATGGAAAATACAGTTTATCATTTGAACCCACTGCTGACGAAATTAATGGGTATTTGTCTTTGACTTATGTGGGAGATGAATTAGGCCATGATGATGGAAACTTAACACATTTTTCCATGCCAAAATGCAATGAGAAACTTTAAAAGATCCATAAAGGAACTTCCATCATCTGTCCTGGAGACCATATGTAGATGGGAGAGATGCTAGCCAGGCTGCAGACAGCTCAGATACCACTGATGGGTACAACATATGGGCTGTACTCGAGCACAGCAAAAAAGAAATATGATGAGCTCCTCCCTTTATTAGTGTTGCTATTTATACCAGGCTTGAAGAATGTCGTGTGCTCTACTGAAAGCCAGAGGACTGAGGTTCCTGCAGATAACATCTAGAGCATCATGTACTGCCCTGAGGCCAGACCAGCTGGCTTCAAGTCCCCTTTGAAAGTGGTCCTGCAAGAAGAGGGACTGTCCCTGGAGACAAGGAAGACTCAGGGCAGAACTGGTGTGAGCAGAGGCTGGTGCAGTGGTGCCACAGGCAAGCAGTGAAGCAGTGCTGCTGTCCTCCCTTGGTTTAGGCTGATGGCACCAGGAGAAGGGGTGAGCTGGGGGACAGAACAGCCAGGGCAGCAACACCAGGGCGTGTACGACTTCCCCCAAACTCAGGGACATGCTCTCACCTTCAACAAATTTTGATCCACTGCACTGTGTTTTATTTAGTTAATACTCCTCCAGGGATCCAGCTACATTACATCAGGAAAATCCCCCGAGATCAGCTGGCATGTCCTAATTACACAAGTCTCTCTCAATATTTTGATAAGACTGCAAACGGGCAAGCTGACAGAGAGGACACTCAAACATTTCCAAAGTGTCCTATCCCTAATCTGATACAAACAACTGAATGAGTCTCCCAAGCAGGCCAGGACTGTGTGTTATTTGAACACTCAGACTCAGTTAGACAACAGCAGCAAATGCTTGAGCTTTTAAAATGGAGAAAATTCCCCCTCCCTGTGCCCATTTCAGCCTCTTCCAAGCAGTGTTTACCTTGTGGAGCCTGTCCACTAACTCAGACACCAGCTGCAAGTGCTTCCACTGCAGCACAGAGTCTTTTTTGTCTGGAAGCAACATGTGGTATCAATTTATCATCCTCGACAACGCAACAAGGAATCCACTCGCTTTAAAAATAAAATGAGAGTTGTGTAACTTAACTCTTAAAAGTCCCTGCCTTTTTTTTTTTTTTTTTTTAATGCCTGAAGATTAGCAAGATGAGGTGCAGCTGGTGGCTGATGAGTCCAAGTTACACACTGGTCTGCTTTTCTTTCAGTGTTTTGTAGTGAGCAGCAAACTTGAAATTTCAGATATGGGCTCCTAAACTGTAAAGTTAGGGCTAAAAATCAAAAGCAGCAGTTTAACAAGTGGGATATTAAGACACGGTGGGAGAAAAACAAACACTATCTGCAGACCGATAAATGCTGCTAATGCTCACTTGGGAGAATCACACTTTATTTTATCCTGTATTAACATATATAATGTTTTTATTTCACCATATGAAGTTGTCTGGTAGCCATGCAGCAGAGAAAGGTATCAGATGGAATACAAAAACAAGCCATGAAAATAACTCCAGTTTATCAGCCTCTAGCTGAACAGAGGGAGTCCAACTCCTCCATGGCTCTGCTTGCTCACTTGAATTTCAGTTTTCAGCTTATGTCATCTTGCTCAAAATGTTGTCACACAGATCTCATTTGGGATGAACACATCTAGGGACAGCTTCCACCAAAAAATTATTTTCTTCAAGAAAATCCTACTTTTTTTGCATTTAGTAGTTGACGAAACCAGAGCCTGTTAGTAATTCAACACATTTTGCCCACCTGTTCAGACCAGTGTCTGTGCCTTCTCATAAAGTAACTCAAAACTTGCTTCAACTACCACTCTTCATAGCATCATA